GCTGCCGCCTCCGCGGGGCGGGGAGGGGGCACCGCCGGGGGCCCTTGCGTGTGCCGCGAATTTTGGGTGCGCAGAGCAAGTTAGCTCTGATTGATTGCGGCTGTGCGGTTCTTTGCGGCGCCGCTGGGAGGGCCCTGACACCAAGCGCAGCCCCGGAATTCTCAGTCTTCATCTTTTTGCAGTCGCCGTTTGATACCGACCAGAATTATCTCGGTTGCTACGGTTTATACTGATGATCTTGGACCTACCAGTAGGTCCCGTGTCGCGAGGTCATCGCCAGTTTTCAGCTATTGCAGGAAGTCTCTGTGCCCGTTAAGTTCAGCGAACGGAAGCGCCCGGTGGCACCCGCCGTGCCGTACGCCCTGGGTGGTGGGTCCCAGGGACTGACTCTAGGCACAGCAACCGGCAAGTCATTTGTAGCATGTCCGTCCTTATGTGGGTGACTCCAGAGAAGCTCTGATCATTTTCGTACCTTAAATTGTATTGAAATGGTTTTTGGATGCGTTCTCATTTTTTAAAATCCTGATTTTTGTTTGCCACCGTTGTTTCAGCTGTTATTTCTGTGTTTATTTTATAGCAATTGCCGCCACACGTGCGCGTCTGGGATTCTGTAACTCTGAATACACTGCATGTCATTGGAATGGGTTTTTTTGACCGAGCTGTCACTTGCATTGCTTTTTCTAAATCTGTAAGTAAAGTAGATGAATAGTCGTAGTAAAAATGTTTGCTGAACAGGCCTTTGAAGTCTTTCAAATTTAGCTTCCTTGAGCAAAACAAACTTCCAAGCTGTCTTTTCTTTCAGCTTCCTTTCTAGAAGAGTAAAGCTTGCAGCCCAGTTCTTTCCAACAGTTTATGCTGCTATTAAAGTTAGCAGTATCTCAGTAGTCTCAGAGGTCTACCTTATGCTTATCATAAAATGCAGTTAATTTCGTCAGGCACAAGCAGTTGCAGGAGTACTTGTGTTCTTGAAATTTCAGTACCCTTATTTCTCCTTCTTAATCATCCCCTTGTGTTTCTCTGTACATAAGAAAGTTTCTCTCAGCATCTTTTAACACCCTTACTGTGCCTAAGAATGACCGATGAAAGACCTTCACAATGGCCTGTGCCACTGGTTTTGGACTTGAAAAATGGGAGCTCCCATAGAAGAAGCAAAATCTTTTGCTTGAAAGTAGCAAAGGCATATGGCTAAAGGATTGTAAAGAATTAGAATCCTGTTGTTAGCCTCTTGGCACCATCCTTTGAACTCTATCAGGGAGGTGAAAAAGGTGACACAGGCAACATTCAAGTCCCATATAAAAACATGGTTCCATAACCTGACACGCGCAAGTCTAGAAACCCTCCGTGTAGAACAGAATCTGTAAGCGGTGCATCTGGTGCTATCTGGTTGTCTCGACAGCATTTTTAAAAAGGAGAGGACTAAATGGTGTATTCCCTAGGCAAAATGTATTTCAGTGAAAGTTTCCACAAACACTTGAAATCTACTGATGTTTTATAGAAAGTAGAAAAGAGAGGAGTGAATTGGGAGAGCTGGTTAAGAATACAAAGGCGAAAGCCAACACGGTTCAAGACCACCTTTGAAGGATAAATAGAAAGGGATAGCAAGCAAACACTCTGTAAATATCTCCCTGGAGGAAAAAAATAGGTACTTAATAACAGAGGATCGCTATTGGCAGATGCCAGGAGAATGCAAGCGCTTAGTATGTTTGCTTTATGCTGTGATTTCAGTGAGAGCTTGGCCTGTTTTGAGCATCACTTCCAATCCCATAGCAGTACTGCTTATCTCGTTTTAGACAGCCTTCTCTTCAGGCTACTCAGTCCTGTCTCTGTCCCACCTCTTGAGTAGCCTTGGCACAGTTATTTTTGTAGCTGCATCCGAGATGTGTATTAGGGGCCTGATTCATCAGGAAAACAACCAAGCAACCTCGCATATAAACAAAATGAAGCAGAGTTTGCTCGGGTCTTCTTTTCCCCCCAAAGAGGCTCACTCTATGATAGCCCAAACTGTTGTGGAGGCTCAGCTGAAGAGGCAGCAACAAGCGGCTGTGCTATGGGTGGCAAAGGAAGGGCTGTTTGTGTCATCGTTGCTGCCAAAGGACTGCTTGTGTAACCACAGGCTCAGTCTGTTCCAGCAAGCTCAGCTGCAGTCAAAGCTAACATAGCTAATGCCAGGAGCAACAGGATACAAAAATCGTGTCTGAATGGGTTGGAACACAATTAGACATTACTTGATGGTTTGTTCCACTATAGACACACAGCTAGGAATGAACACCAAAGAAATTGGGAAAAAGGGTCCAAAAAGCTTCCAGATTGCTACTGTTTGGAAAAAGATCTGATTGTACAGCAGTTCCCATCCCTAGTGAGATCAATGTCAGTCAGCTCCCCTCAGTTCAGGTAGAGTCTTGGTTGGAGTTCCTCAACCAGTCTTTGGATTCACACATCAGAAAAATGATACCAACTGGAGAATGTCTAGGAAATATGATGCATGAAGAAAGACTAAAGGAATTGGAGTCATTAAGATTAGAAAGACTCATAGAAGACACAACTATAAAAAAGACACCTGTCAGGAATAAGTTGTTAAACAATTTCTTGTTTCCTGGTTTTGATCCATTATTCCTAAATAAAGAGTAAAATTGTTCCACATGTCCGTAGCAGATTTAAGAAGTAACTGGTTTAAATCGCAAAGAAAGAAACTCAGTATAGTTATAAGGAAAAGCTTTCTTAATAGAATAGACAATGATGTGTAGTTTGCTCTTGGAATTTCCATCACTAAATGTTTGAAAAGAGATACCTGCCTCATTCCTGACAAAGTCTGTTTGTCTACAGTTTGCAAGAGTTCTTCTTCTAGATCCATTATTAGCCCTATTTTCCAATGACCCTATTAATCATTATATTTCATGCAGATCTATGGAATAAATAAAAGTATAACAGTTAAGGTGTAAATATTTTCACCTACACAGAAGTATGTAATTATTTTGGATGTGTATTTATATGTTTCTCATGTTGGTTGGGCAGTGCATTAATATTTTCCATGTTTTGCCTCAGAATGGAGGAAGTAGCCTGTGCTCCGTGGATGACTCAAACGACCATGTGCTTTCTGTGTGGGACTGGCAGAAAGAAGAAAAGCTGGCAGATGTCAAGGTGTTGCAATAAGATATTTTGTTCTGCTTGCTTGTATGTAGATCTGGATTTCTTGTCATAAAATGTCTTCCCAAATTTAACTACTTGTGCCTTTTTAACACTTTTGATTTATATATAAAAGGCAAAGAACACGAAGAAAGGGGCTATTTTATCTCTGTTGACATTATCCCAATAGCTTGGGTATTTTCAATTTCGCTATTTTTGTCATTTTAGAATGCCTAGAAAAGTCTAGGCAGCAATGACAGGAGCATGTGTAGAAACGAAACATCTTAAACTAATCTTTTATGTAGAAATTCTCATTATCTGACATGATTTTGAAGGATAACTTTTGATACTAACTTATTAAAACATAAAATCTTTTGACTTCAAAGTATTCTACCAAAGTATTGCAGACTACTTGAATAAATAATAGCTCAGAATTTTTCTTGTATCAGGAGTATCAGTTTATCTAACTAGAGAAGCATTTCATATTGTTTTGTGTTTTTTGAGTTTTAGATTTTGATACAATGTTTTTCTTTTTCCTTCCAAGTGCTCTAATGAAGCTGTATTTGCTGCAGATTTTCACCCTACTGATACAAATATAATAGTTACTTGTGGAAAATCACACCTTTATTTTTGGACACTAGAAGGGAATTCCCTTATTAAAAAGCAAGGATTATTTGAGGTAAAATAAAATATTTCCTTAATTTTGTATTTATAGTAATGGTACAGTCATGCAGAAGTAAGTGTTGTTAAGGTTTGAGTAAATCAAAACAACTGATTATTATTAACGTTGAAATTTTGCAGAAATTCAGGTAGCATTCACGGTATGGTACAGAGAACTTTTCCACGGGTAAAACTTCCACAATGAAGTTTTTAAATGCAGTTACCATTTTAGTCCTTGCATTCCTTTCCCTATATTTTTAATGCTATGTCCAACCCTCCACACACCCCTGCAAAATAAAATTACCTTAAAAGTCTCTATGCTTGCCTCAAGCTAAAAAAAAAAAAATATAGAGTGATATATACTAGGGTTTATTTTATTTTATTTTGTCAGAGGAAAGACTTGCAAAGCCCCATAAATTACATGAATATGAATATTCTTCCCTTTTCCTCTGTTCTGCTCAGATACATACACATATGTAATTCAAATACAGATTGAGCTGGCCACCATTTGGTAAATATCATTTTCATTTCAAGGTCTTGTCTTAGTTTTGTTCTTACATATAGACTAAGCTGTACAGCAGTTGCATGCACAAATGTGGGAGGTTTGCGGTGACTTCAGGTAACTCCAGTAGGACCTAGTCAACTGCTTATGGAGTCGTGGCTCACAAGGGTAGTCAAAACAACTATTTTGCAGTGTCAGTTAATATGCTTTATGTGAATTCAGGAGGAGATGTTGAGATAATGCTAAATGCTAATATTTAAATAATATTGTTAGAATTTATTTTTCATTCATTTTTAACTCCCAAGTTGCTTGGGCAGATTTCTGCCTCTGTTATGGCTCTGTTGTTCTCAGTGATTGTTGCAGATGGAAAAGTGTGGTGGCCCTAGTTGAGAACAGTTCTTAGTTTGCGGGAGAAAGAGGCCATACACACTGGTAGTCAACAGACATTGTAAATCACGTCCTTAGAAACTACTAGCTAGTGATTCTTTTTGCCCACTTATGCATTTCACTGTTTTGTTGTCATGGGTATCTTAAACGGAGGGTCTCAAAGCAACATTTCCATTTCTTAATTCTTACACTACAGCCAAACTCTCTAGTAATATTTTTCTCCTGGAAACTTTGGAGTTAAAACTTACAGCGATAAACCTTGTTTGCATCTTCGGCCATTTCTAAATACTTAAAGGCTTTGGGATTATGTGGGAGTTGGGGGATTCATTTCATCTCAGAGCATTCCTGGTCTCGTGCTGAAAGCTGGCCTTCTCACTCACTGTCTGCAACTTGTAGTTAAAGGGTGCAGGATTGGGCAACCAACGCCAGCTGAGGCATCTTTTGCCCTTGCAGAGTTTAACTGTTTAGACTGTAGGAATGTGTTTAACTTCTGTGTAGGTATTTAAGTGATAATAGAGTTGTATAAGACTAAACTAGATTACTCAAATGTGTAGAGCTGAAATGAATGGATTGTGTGTTGCTGTGAGTGTATATTTTTCATAACCATGCAGAAACAAGAGAAGCCAAAGTTTGTCCTATGTGTGACCTTTTCTGAAAACGGTGATACTATTACAGGAGACTCAAGTGGAAACATTTTGGTTTGGGGGAAAGGTAAGACAAGATTGAAGGTAATAGTGAAATTTTAATGTAAAAGAACATGAATTTTTATGTGAGTGTAGCCTCATTTTAAGAAGAATAAATTTTGTTTATCTTGAGTACTTTCCCAAGACCAATCTAGCAGATTATGTCTGGATTCTCCTCTACAAGCACTGAAAGAACATCTATACCTGACTGCTGGAGCACCAAATTCTATAGAATGTGTTCCCTATGGTCAGATGTTGAATCATAGAGCTATGCCAGCATATGTGGCTTTTACTGACGTAAGAAATGGCAGGAAAAGTTATTTTCCTTAATCAATGTGATAGTAAGAAACACTGTTAACATAATTGATGATCTCCAGTCTCCTATACTCTCACTCTGTAGTGTTTGCAAAAATTATGCCCATTGACATACTTTTAAAAAGACAACAGATAGCTTTATTTGTTTTCCTAGGAAGTCAAGCTAAAATATATTCAGATCTAATTGAATTCCTCAGCTTTATTTCAAAAGAGCAGATGGATAGGACAAACTTCTTAAAAAGCGTTTTCTAGTAAGAAAAGGCTCTTTTTGTTTTTTGGTCAGCAGAAGGCAATGCCTGCCGGAAGGCAAACAGCAGCAACATCCTAAACATTTACTTAGTGCGTCAGATGCCATGCATAGCAATAAGGAGAATCCCCTAAAGGAGGCCTTATTAGTAAAGGAAGAAGGGGTGTGGATGATAGCTGCTTCTTATTTACTCAGTGCCTTCTTGCAAGATACTCGAAGGATATGAGACCCAGGAAGCAGCACGATGAATCAGTTGCACAGTTGAGCCTTACTGAACTGGTTTTGTAGACTTTTTTTCGTCCAAGGTCTATCAGCCAATGATCTGCTTGTGCTTTTGACTGATACACTACTCTTGAGGAAAGGTGTGGACATGGTGTTTGTAACTCAGCTCCTCTTTTATTTCCCTTTTCTTTTTCCTATGATAGTTTAAAGCAAGACACTTGAACACTTTTCCTTCCAAACAGAGGTTAGAAATTGCATAGTCCTATCTCCTCCCTGTTCTCGGTTGTTGGTTTGGACTGCCAACAGGCAAGGGAGACAGTGGCAGCTGCTGGCACGGCAGGGTCAGTGCACTGCTCAGGGGCCTGTTTGCCTGCATGCCCGTAGACTGATGCCTGCCTTGACTGCAAGCAGCCTCTGCCCTTTCTCCCAGGAATTAAAAGTAGTTCTTTGTGTGCTGCAAGATCTCCTCACCTCTGCCGGTTCTTTTGGGTTGGACAAAAGTGATGTTCTTGTTTTTCTATCTTAGTACAGCGTACTTTCTATGTCTGCGCTACTTTTGACTCAGAACTCTTATGTTCAAGCGAGGGACACTTCCAGCAGGTCAGAGTACCCTGACTTCTCTTGATAGAAATCACTTGTAGCTGACACATTGTATCCATAGGTGTGGATAGAAGCAAATGGGATTTATAAAGAAAAAGCAGTTGTTTCTTCCTAACTGGTATCAGCCCCTCTTTCCTGCTAAACATAAAGTTAGCCAAGCTTTGAGGCAAGGAATAGAATCACTAGTAATCGTTTTTCTATTACTTTCAGTAATAGAATCACTAGCAATCATTTATACTTCATAATAGTAATGGTTCATCAAATTAGAGATATTTAATCTAATGTAGTTGTTTTTGAAGGTGTTTTGAGTCTAAGAAGGTACTTGAACAAGCCAAGTTCATCAATAAAGATATACAGGCTCTTTCAGAGAGTGATTTGGCATGTCCCACCAGATATACAAGGACCTCTAGCTTAGTCAGGTTTTGGTGCAAGTTCGGTGTCTGGAGGCTGTGGAATATCCTTTGGAGGATAACAAGTGACTGGGTTATGGTTTCTTTCTTGATAAGGTGCGTAGTCCTTACTGCAGGTCAAATGTGGTGTCAAACAGTTTAGCTCAAACTCCCATGAAAGGGTAAAATGGACCTATTTTACTTTGTATTTGAACTAGACTGAGTGAGTATGTATACATTTCATTTTTGAAATGGGGGGAATATGTTCTTAAGATGTATTAATTCAGTCTCTCCTGCGGGTCTGAGCATTTTGATGCAACACTCCATGCCCACAGTTATCACTGTTTAGATATAGTCCTTGACAGGTAGTAGAGAAATGGGGAAAAAGGAGCTGTTAAGCTGAGTGTTTCAGTAATAATGTCTTTTCTCCTATCCAGGTACCAACAGAATAAGCCACGCGGTTCAAGGGGCACATGAGGGTGGAATATTTGCGCTGTGTATGCTGCGAAATGGCACATTGGTATCAGGAGGCGGAAAAGACCGAAAGCTGATATCTTGGAATGGAAATTACCAAAAACTTCACAAAACTGAGGTGGTATCACTTATCTTGAAGTTACTCTGCTACTCGAAATGAAATTTTAGCTGTCTTCTGAACAGAGCTTTTTTATTCAATTTTTTTCTTATGGATGCGTATTCTGTGGGAAAGCAAATCAATGGTAAAATGCAACATTGTTTGAGTCATCAGGTCATTCCTGTGATAGCCTATTCATTGACAAAATATTTCCTTTTTAAGATCTATGGTAATTGGAAAACAAATCTTGTATTCATGTTTTTTCATATTGTTTCTCTCTTTCTTTGCAATTAATAATGTGAGGTCATTTTTCACTTCAGAGTATTACAATATTAAATGTTTTTGTGCTTTCTTCTCTTCCAAAATGATGCGAGGGTTTTTTTGGGGTTTTAGTACTTACGTTTTTTCATTAATTTCTTGGATAGTGTTGTTTCTTATTTAAAAAAGAAACTCCAAAAATAATTTAGTTGCTCTGTAGGAACTTAAAAGATGAAAGCAGAATTTGCCTGGACACAACTACGTGACTCTTTGTGTACTCAATGTAAAAAAATAATCGGCATAAAATTCTGAGGAAGGGTTTCAACTCTACTATATATTATTAAATGCTGCAAATATATATGCAACTGGAATGGCATGTCTATTTGAGTAAATCAGTTTTTAACACAGCATGAGGTACATGCGTGTTGTGCTGTTTCTAACCGTGGTGTCCTTCTTTTTCTCTTATTTGTTCATACGGTGGTATTCCTTGTTATTTTAAATATGACATCTTCCCTTGAACTTTATGTTGGAGATTTGCACTGACTCTTTTCAGAACCTAGGCTGCAATTAAAGAAACATACCTTGCAAGAAAGCCTGACTCTACCTCTAAGTAGAAGTGCTTAGTCTGATATTACAGCTGCAATTGAAATATGATCAAGTTAGCACAGCATGAAGAAACCTTTCCTGTTTGTTGAAATACTTGGTTTATCTGTACAAATGGAGTGTTCTGTCAATAAGGGTGTCTTTTCTTGTAGTGTTATAAGGGCAGTTACTGAGCTTATGCAAGTTGTTTCAAACTTTTGAAAGTCAGGGGTATATATTCATCCATTTAATTTCTCCTCTGTGCAACATTTAGTAAAATGTATTTGCTAGGCCACGTGTCTTTAAAAATAGCAACGCTTGACAAACTGTCCGACTTACCTATCTGTTTGTCTGTTATGACCACAGATTCCAGAGCAGTTTGGTCCAATAAGAACAGTAGCAGAGGGAAAAGGGGACGTTGTATTAATAGGAACCACTAGAAACTTCGTCCTACAGGGCACGCTATCAGGAGATTTTTTCCCAATTACCCAGGTAAGCTGTTGCCTTACAAGAACATTTCTAAGAGTCTAATAGCAGTAAAGGTATTGCTTAAAGTTAAGTTTCATAAATATGCATCTGTTTGATTTATTATTACAGTACTTCTGGCAATAAATAACATTATAAATATGCATCTGTCTAAGCCAATGTATTTTTGTAATGCTTTAATATATAGTTTGGTCATTTTAATCCTATTTAAACATGTTTAGTTTTGGTGGTACTGTCCTTCTTGTCAAGAAACATTTCTGCTTGTGTAGGGTCACACTGATGAGCTTTGGGGACTTGCAGTCCATTCCTCTAAACCTCAGTTCTTCACTTGTGGACATGACAAACACATTACCCTCTGGGATGCTACCACTCATCATCCTGTCTGGAACAAGATTATAGAGGTATAAATTTATTAAACACAACTCTACCTTTATAAAACTTCTCAAGTAATTTGGGTTTTTGATAAGGTTATTGATTTAAAATATCTTAACTTGAGGAAAAAAAAAAAGAGGGTCATAAAATTGTCTTTCTGAAAATGGACATAAGACTCTTAAAAACAAGAATTTAACCCCCTGTGTTATATGGACCTATATGCTGTATCATATAGAAGTGTACAGTGCTGTTGGCGTTTATATTTTTTTACTAGGAAAAGAACCACAAATATAAAGCTAGAAATTACTTATCATTTAAATGTAGTTCTGATCAGGATTACTACTACTACCACTATCCTGAGCATGGCAGTCAGAATTCAGACAGAAAATATTTTTTTAGTGACATTTTTTGGCCTTCATTTATTTTATATAATTTATTAGTATTCATATATGTGGGTTTTAGATTTCGCTTCCTACCTCTGGTATGAAACTTGGTGTTTAGGTACTGAAGGAATATTGAGTGGAGGCTCAGTTTTATATTGTACTTAGGCTCTCAGTTGTGCATCTGCAGAATCCTGATGGCTTTGTGGTAACGTGATCTTGATTACTACACGCATCACTAGGAACTAATTTTTAGAGTACGTTTTTTGGAGGCCTGATCACTCTTGGCATTGGCATATCTCCTGCAGACAGCGGTGATGTGTTTATCTCTCTATGTTGAGGTGCCACATTTTTTTTCAAACAGTCTTCTCACTACATTTTTTTAATAGATGCAAGACTGTTCTTTTTTGGAGATACATTTACTGTTTATAATAACCAAATTATTTCTCAGTCTTTTTATCTGCCCTCTGTACAGTGGAAAAGTTCAAAAATTACTTCAGAAGTAAGAAACAGCACTTGATGTAAATATATGTCAAATACACAGGTTTGCAAATCAAATTGTAGCCAGTAACTTATAGATGACCCTCATGTTGCTGACTAAAACATTTTCTGTGTGATGTAGTAAATAATCCTCTATTAGTTCACATGAAGTTTTCAAAATCTTAGTTATGCAGCTTTTCTCATAAAAAGATTGTTCGTTTTCAGGCCTCTGTGACACTTTAAGTTGAAGCTAGTATTGGTAAGACTTGCTGAATACAACGTATCTGCAATAAGTGTGTGCTGTTGCAGCGGGCTGAAGCAGTCTTAACAGAACAGCATTTGCCAAACTGCCTCTCGTAGTATCCCGCTCCAGTTGTAAGCACTTGTCAAAGGTGGAAATTGGAATTTATTCTGTCTGACCAAGGTCGTATGTTCTAAGGTCCCTATTTTTGTTGACTTCTAAATTAGTTGGAGAGACCAAAGCAACAGTTCCACTGCCCCAGAGATGGAGCTGTATTTTCACAGTTCAGTGCCTGGGTTATAAAGACAGGTTGGCCTGTAGTGTAAGAAATTAAAAGAAAGGAAAATAAAAGTAGTTCTTTTAATCTAAAAAAAAAAAAAAAAAGGAAATTAATAATACTAAGGGTTTGGCCAGGCAGATAATTGCATTTTACTACCTCCTAATCATTTCAGAGTTTAAGATATGTTAATATGATTGGGATTTAAAAATAAGCGCTCTCTCCCCTTCAATCGTGAAGAATATTGTAGTTGGGCCTTAGGGGAATGGTCAAACCTGGAGAAACATCAAAATCTTAACGTGCTTGCAAATCTCTTGACCTGCTACCAAGATGCCAAATACGAGATCAAATAAATACCAGCACACTTAGGCTACAAACTTCAACAGTAGAATGTATTTTTAAAAATCAGTGAGCAGTTGTAAACCAAATTTTCCTGGATCTGTCTTGAAAGACTCTCTAAGAAAATAAACTTGTGCCTTTTTTTGTTTACAGCAGTGTACTGTATTGTACAGTATGGCATATGAACACACTATATTGCAGAAATCCTTCACATGCAATTCAGAGTGACTTGAACAATGACACAGCTGGGAACTTTTACATAGACCTTTCTGGTCTTAGCATAGGGGTTTTTATTTGTGGAGAGTTAATTTGTTTATTTAGAAATGGTACATACTGGTTCTGTGCAAGTCTTATTTATAAATATCCTGAAGTGGAGAGTAAAATCATTGGTACCATTTTTTATGCTTTCCTAATAAATTTCTTTTTTATCTGAAAAAAAAAAAACATCATCTAATTCAATTGCAGGTGCTGATGTGATCCTTTGCTCATTTAAAGCTGTGTTGTTTTGTATACTTCCGTACACTTTGAAAGATGCTGGGAGAATAAGAAGTTAGTACTTCTGACATATTTCTCATTATAGGAATGATGTACGGAGGGGGGCCCATAGTCATGAAGAGAAGTGCAAAATTTGGCACTTTGCTGTCTTGCAGTCTAAAGAAAGGAGCGTTTAGAAGTTTGGGTTGATAGTGGAACATCATTAGTGGAGATAAGTGCAATACGGGGAACGGGAACAGATCTATTAATCAGATAAGCTGCTATCTCAGCAATAAAGTTACTTAAGTAATCATCAACTCAAAATAGAATGTTGTTTCCACTGTTTGTCCTTTGTCTCCTCTGAAAAACAGAACTGGAGTTTAACTGATTATGACTTACAGTGAGCTTCAATTAATATTTAGCTGTGGTTTTGCACATATGAGACAGTCTCTAAGAAGCTGTTGTTACTGAACTATTTAAGAAACTGCTTTGTTTACCTTGATTCTTTTGAAAAGGTTGATGGCAACAGCAGTAGGACTATTAAACTAAACTGAGATTTATTTCTTTTCCCTTCCAAGTACACACCGCTTCATTAAGCGAAGATTTCTATTATCAATCTTGACAATAATTTCCTTATTAACCACTTGAAATATCTGAGACTACATTTTATAAATCACTGGCTGATTATCTAGAGTAAATAAATCATTTCATGTTAACCTATTTTTCTGATCAAGCTCTATGTAGAAGCTTTTTAGTGTAGTTAGGAGTACAAGTTACTGCTCAGACTAAATTCACTGTTTGAACCTCTGGTTTATTCAAGAGAATATTTTAGCATTTACTGTGAAATTATACTTTTAAAAAATTAGCAAATTTTCCTGTCTGGACTACTGTAGTGCTTTAGAACATGTGTTTAGAAATCCTGGTTCTCAACAGTTCTCTGAAATTTAGTGTTAGTAATGTCTTTGAAATTAGTCACTTGTCTAAAATTAATGAGACTATCCCTTACACCTGGTCTCTAGGGCTAGTAATTAGAAACTGCTAAAAATGTGAACAGGTTTACTAAGATGGCTACAATGTTGTACTATTTTAGACTATAGAAAATCAAGGACATAAGCATTTCTGTGAGGTATGTTACTGGTTGGTTTTTTTTTTTCTGCTTACATTTTAAAATTATTTTTGTGAAGTATCAGAAAAAATAAGCTATTTATTTTGAGACTTTCTGCTGTAAACTGAAGAGTTCTGGAGCTCATTCTTTGTAACTGAACAAGTATTAGAAAGAAAATGCTTACCTTGTTTTTCAGGCCTATGTTTAAATTACAAGAACACCACTGCAATTCTACCCGTCTCCGTAATAATACACTATACAAAGTAAAATGCTTTAGAATTGCTTGTCAAAGTAAGAAACCCAGTTTATGCCCTTAATCTCCCACTAAGATGCAACTGGCAGGTGCTGAAAAAGGTGTGGGTGTGGGTAGAAGTTAGTCTTTACCCCTCCATGCACAGTGATACATACCTTTGTTGAAGAAGGTACTTGCTTGTCCTTGAGACAGTAGGTAAACTGCAGCTTTGATACTTAATTCTTGGGCCAGCTCTAATTTAATAAGTTATTTTTATCTCTTTACTTGTTTGTGATTTGTTGAGAAGCTGCCTTTGCCAATGTTATTGTTATGAAATCACTTGCCAAGTTATTTTTAGATAGTGAAGAAAACAGTGGCCTTGTATAGTGGGGGAAATAAAAATCTATTGGGTAATATTTCAATCAGTTAAAAGTGTTTTTTTTTTCCCTCAAGTTTGTATTTAAAGGCAAAAACGCCACCAAAAAATCAACCAGAAAGACTTACTCTGATACTGAGGCAGATAATTGAACTGTGTTTTTGTTATAACTTGGACTGGTAAAAACGTGTGCTTCCTTCTGAAACATTTTAGGATCCAGCGCAGTCTTCAGGTTTTCATCCTTCAGCATCTGTTGTTGCAGTAGGGACACTGACCGGCAGGTAAGCTGCACAGAGCTGCACCTTGGGCACCAACCAACACTACATGATTTTTCCAGTTCACGTCCAAGTTCATGTTTTTGTTTTGCTGATGTACGTGTGACATATATTCATCCCCTATGGGCTTCTATTGAATTTCAGAGTGAAATTTATTTGTATTGCCTTAGTGCCTAGAAACCCTAGCGTTGGACCAGTACCCCGTGTTTGCTGAGCATTGCATGACCACAGAGCAAAGAGATGGTTTCTGCCCTGGGAGAGCAGCAGTCTACCATCAGTGGGAGGAGATGGATTTGGACAGGGCAGGAAGCCTAGGTTAGCAGTGAGACTGTGCGTGGGAGATGCCCTCAGCACACCAGTGACCTGAATGTTAAACCTTTGTGTCCGTCACGGCAAAGGAGAGGCTAAAGGAGTAGTCTGAGATAGTGAGTTAACTTTGCAGATGCGTACGGAGATCTCTTCTGAGGCCTGTAGTGCAGCATAGCGGAAATTGCATAGAAAAAGGTTGCTCGTTGGAGAATTTAGCAAATTTTAGGTTTATTATCTCTAATTCAGTGACAACTGAAGGCTTTAACAAAAATTTGGCAAATGTTCCACTGTGCTAGACATAGTGTAAAAATGCATATTAAGAGACTTGTTCTTCCTGAAGAGTGTAAGGCATAAACAAGACAGACAGAACCGCGGTGAATGGTAGTGTCTCCATTTTACAGGGCAGATTTGAGCCCTTGGACACACACTGCGTCAGCAGCAGACCCTGGGTTTTAACCTTGGTTGTCTGTCACAGGCGGAAGGAGTGCCTTCCCCATAACTTCATCCTCTCCTGTAATGTCACTTGAGGGCAGACTTTGCTGTTAATACTGAAAACAGTTCCACTTAACTGAGAACATACGGGATGCTTGTAGGTTATGAGCCAAGATTGTTTCAGATTGTATATCAATCCTAAATAAAGGGTTTACTTTAGTTAGTAAATGTAATGTGTTTACTAAATAAAGTAAATCACAAGGAGAAGCTTTGAGAGGAATCTTTACTTTGTCCTTAATAATTTGATGCAAGTATTGAAATACAATTTTTACCTTCGTCCCTTCTACAAATTCCACAAATTAAATTTTGGATCATTAAAATTAATTAATTAAAGCAATAAATTAATTAACTTTAAAATAAACTAATAAATAAAGCTAATCCTTCTATCAAAAGAGAATATCCTGATTCTTGCTTGTGTTTTCCTTTGCTCTAGGATTTAATGTAGGCATCAGTTTAAACATCAGCGTAGCATAGAGGAGGGTCATTAAAGGAAGAAGGGTCATTATATGTGATGTTTATTTTATTCTAATGCATGACACATAGTAAAACAGATTAAAATCTGAAGATTAATATCAAGGTCAATCTCCAGTAATTTTTCTGCTTAAAAAACAGGAGAAAGAACCTATCCTTGTGTTAAAGTAAAAATAAACCAAATTTAGTAGCAGTTGCTGTTTTTCTTTTCTTGGTGTAAAACTTCTGCTATTTTGACAGAAGAAAAGTTGGTCAAGATTACAGTAGATTTCAATTCCGTATGGAATGATTTATTGGGCTCTTTCTGTATTTACAACAGGTGGTTTGTGTTTGACACAGAAACAAAAGACTTGGTCACTGTACACACAGATGGAAATGAACAGCTGTCTGTAATGCGTTACTCACCAGGTTTGAGAGCAGTTATTGACTGGTTAAAAAAAAGCCTTGAATTTTTTTATTAAATTTGGGGTTGGTTTGTTTTAAAATGATTCCCCACATGCCATGCTGAAGCTGAAAATAAATATGCCGTGAAACATTGGCAGCACTGAATGGGTGGTGTTTTAAGTGCTAGTTTTCTTTCCCCTCCCTCCCTTCCCCACATGCTTGGTTTTCAGCATGATTTCACTGGGAAGAAAACAAACAAATATTACTCAGCCGTGCAGGTTGTTGCAATCAGGTTAGCCCTAAATGGACTGTAGCTTCTTCCAGAAGTGTCATGTGTTTTTAAGAGTAATATTTGCTGTATGAACTTGCTGTTTTGTAATCTCGAAACATGCATCAATATGCAACTGAAAAAGAAAAATTAGAATTATGTTTTTTTCATTTTTTAATGATTTTTAAGAACAGTTCCTGTTGTCTGTGACACACTAACTTTTCAGAATTAGCCTAAGTTCTTTCTTACAGGAATAATTAGAGCTCAGTTTTGTGTTTATAGATGGAAACTTCTTGGCAATAGGTTCCCATGACAACTGTATTTATATATATGGCGTAAGTGAAAATGGAAGAAAGTACACTAGAATTGGCAAATGTTCGGTAAGTAACCTTTTCTCCTTCTGATTTGATATTAACAACTTAGAGTACGTTTTGTAGCACTTTATTAATACTGTCACACTGAGAGATACTGTTAGTGCAGTTAATACGGTATTTTTCTCTTTGCAGGGTCATTCCAGCTTCATTACTCATCTGGACTGGTCTGTTAATTCACAATATCTTGTGTCTAATTCAGGAGACTATGAAATCTTATACTGTGAGTAAGAATTATATTTAGTCATTTTGTACAAAGTTCAGGCAGTCTAATATAGATCTAAAATTTAAATGAGACCGTATAACTGCCAAGGTAGACCATATGTTTTAATTCATCTGGTGCAATCAAAAATCTATATAATTTGAGAATTAAAAATGTTGTCATGTGGTTGTTTTTTTTTTCTTTTGTAGGGATCCCTTCTGCTTGTAAACAGGTTGTGAGTGTTGAAACAACTAGAGATATAGAATGGGCCACTTACACCTGTACTTTAGGATTCCATGTTTTTGGTAAGTATTTTTCCTCTTATAAGCTCTTGCCATTCTTGTTGTTAACAAACACTTGGATTGCCAACTTTTTCTTATAAAACATGACTATTCATATTTCAGTGAAAAATACAGAACTTATGTTATGCCATTTTTATTACAATCTGTCCTCTTATTTCAATCCAGAAAAACTCTGATTTAATATTCTTGCTAGCTTCAAGTATAAATATTAAATTACAACGTAAGTGGAAGACAAGGAAGAAATCATACACTGCCCTTTCTGTCACACTAGAGCTGTTTCTCGTAATTTTTAATTTAAAGTACCAGTTCTATGGAATTACCGCTTATTTAGTCAGCTACTGGGCCAAATCCCCTTACCAGAACCACTTTCATTTGCACTAGTTACTATGCAAACACAAAACAGGTGCCAGTCTTTGTTCTTAAGTACTTAAGTACTTATAATGTGTTTTGATACAATGTATAGCAATTAAATTAGGTGAAAGGAGTGCACGAAGAAAGAAGAAAACCGTAACAAAATCAGGATGGTTTGTTTCCATGGGACTTCTCTTCTGCCAGTTTTGAAGGAGCTGCTTTCCCCAGTGTACTCCGAAGCTCTGTACTCATTCCACAGCACGTGCAGAACTAGACAGATTGTTACAAAAGCTGAGTGCGAGAAGCTTCAAATTCTTGAGTCCTCCAGATAAAATAGGAAGCCACGGCAGAAGTTCAGAGAAGAGTCTGGTTTAGTATAAGCAATAAGCAGGGAGGGTTTTCACCCATGTTTCAAGCAGAATAGATGCAGTGGTGTGTTTGAAGGCAGCCAGAAACGACATGTTTTTAGAGCCTAAAAATGGGATGGCAGTAGCAATATGCTGGGAAGACATATTCAAATGTTGTATAGTTTAACAGACAAGCAGTGCTTGGGTATCACTGCAACATGCAGATTTAGTAAAAGGAGGAAATCCTAGAAGGCTGGGTGTGTGTTCATATAATGTGTTTCTCATATGAGGGATGAAGGCCCTTATAGAACTATTAACATATTCCTGGGGTTTGAGTATACCTGACACACAGTTACAGAGCCACAAAATCTTTCCATTTAGCATCACAGGTTCAGATATTCTGAGATGACAAATACTTTAAGTGATTGTTACTTACTTTATAATTTGGATTCGTGCAAGATACAGTGCTATTAGAACATGGGGCTGCATAGAGAGTCACAGAAGAGTTTCACACCTGAGAGAGGTTCCCCCCTTTACAACAGGTCAGCTTTTGGAGGCAGACTGTGGAACAAAATGATCTACTGGGCCAATGGGGAACTTGTGGAAACTGCTTATGCATTTCTATAGTTCCAGTCCTCCATGCTGAACTGGTTTATTGTAAGCTAAAGCAACAGGGATGAGGAATAAATAAAAGTAGCTGCTAGTTTTAACAGTTACCACAATTATCATTTTAGTAATGTCATAGAGATTGTGAGGACATTCATCAAATGAATGGAATTTTCAATAAAAGGATATAGCTTACTCAGAAAGGATATGCAATGCACAAGGAGACAGTACGGTTGCATATATGCTAAGGATTCATAGCTATACAGTTAGGATCAGACTGGGAAGTTACAAAGATAATGCATAATAATTATAAATGAAAAAAAGAGTATTAACAGTGGCAGGGGTATGCTGTGGCCCATCCTTCCAGAAAGATCAAATGAATGAGATTTTTCTAATAGCTGGCAGAATCAGTGAAATCACAGAAATTGCTGAGGATGTGAGATTTTAATTATCCCAGTATCTTTTGGGAAAGGACAGTGACTAACCAGCAAATTCTCAAAATTCTTCTGATACAGGAAATAGATAAGCACCTAGAGAGGGGTTTCTTCCAGATTAGATTCGGGGGAGTTGGGAAGAACTTGTTGAGAACGTGAATGCATAGGAACGACTGGAATTAGGAAGGTCTGATCCTTAGTATAGGAAGGAAAAAGAGCAACACAATTAAAATAATGGACTTCGAGGAGGCAAACTGCAAAAATCCAAAGCAAATCTGTTAGGGGAGATCTGGAGTTGGAGAAAAGGTGAGATGTGGTAGTTCCTAAGATGGTATGAAGCACACAAATTCTGCCAGCCCAGAGGAAAGACAGGAGTGGCAGCAAGACACAGATTTGGTTAAACTGTTGTTCATCTCTCCTACAAGGAAGAGGAATGCAGAAACTAGAAGCTGTTGGAGGACCAAGGAGACGCAAATAAAGCCTGAACATAAACGCGTACTTGTGACAAGTACAGAAATAACAGAAGGGCCAACAACAATATTGGTCTGCTAGGCAGAGAGGAGAGATGACACTGCTAAGGCTAAAATGTTAAAAAACCCGACACTTTTTTTTCTTTTTCAATGTCTTTATTAGAAGACTTACTACAACCTAATGGCTAACCCCGTTAGTGCCAGTAAAGAAAGGATGAGACCTCTGCTTTCAGCAGGGAAGGAGTAGATTGGAAAGTAGTTAGAAGTCAGATAATTTGGAAGTATCTGAGTGTGATGAACCTTGTTGTATCTGTAAAAACAACTGGTTAGCATAATCTTGCGACCATTAGTACTTGTTTTCAGTACCTCATCAAGAACTGACAGAGTACTGAAAAAGTGGAGAAGACGAATGCAGTATCTGCAGAATCATCTATTTATTTACCTTCAGAGCCCGTTTGGAGAGGATAAAGTGCGAAGTCAGTGGCTAGAATAATAAATTGAAGCAGCTCATAAATTATAAATTGGAAACCAGTCAAGAATGTTGGAAGTCACTCCACTATTCAGTACTTTGGGGCCTCAGAGCAGCCAGTATGAAGAGTCTTCAAATGCTCGCCGGGATTGCCCCACTGGACATAGAAGAAGCAATCACATCATCAAGGGTGTGAGGTTTCTAGTATATTGATTTTTCAGTAGCTACTGGCTGACTGAAACTAGGGATAGTTTCCTCACTCTAGTAGAACCACAGAAAAAGCACAACTAGTATGCATAGCACTCACAGATCAGCATAACCGATGCAGGGGGGGAAATGAGCATTGATGTGTTGAACACCTGCCTTCAAGCATGGGAACAGATTACTTAGCCTGGAACTGTTTAGAGATGATTCAACTGAAAATCAACAGCATGTAAAGTGTGTTCAAGGGAGGATACTTTAGTGATACAAACACATGTAAATATGAAGAACTAAAGACTTAAAAACCCTTACTGATCTGTACGCTCTTGCAAGAGCCATGTGCAGCTGGATACACAACCAAGGCATTGGTTCAAAATTTTTCAGCAAAGGGGATTCAGTTTACATATTTGAAAAAACGGACAGCAAGGCACTGGAATAAATTTTGAAAGAGCGTAGTCTCAAAGAAAAACTGATATGACCCCTTCCCCATTTCAAAATAGCAATCTTGTTTCTTAAACCATTTCATTGAGGGGTTATGTCCAGCTTGTCATAGTGACCCCTTAAGAAGACTCCTGCCTCTCTTCAGCTAGCATCTGATGCTCATACAGCCTCCTTTCTGTCAAAGCAGTTAATTAAAACAGCTTTTTCGTGTCTCTTCATTCTACATGTTCATAATTCCACGAGTAGCGATTACCATGTTTCTTCTTTGCACCTTCCTTTTCTTTAAGCCTCTTTTTTTACTGTCCCTGATGTAGCAAAGAGGTGTTTCCACACACGTCAGGAGACTTAAGTGCAGTCCACAAATCAGTACTTTGGGTTTAATTTTTTTTACAACAGTTTGGAATTCCTTATAAAGGCATGGAATCAATTCCTCACATGCTATTAGGTTCTGGTCTTTTGCTGGTACTGAAGTACACACATTGACTCAGCTGCAGTTATTTTTAGAGTTTCATCTTTTTTTCTTAAACAAGTGATCCTTTATTTATACTTTAAGAAAAACTTAAGCTGTCACTTTTATTCCCATTATACAAACCTTTAATTAGTCCCTCTGTGTTTCAGGTGTATGGCCTGAAGGTTCAGATGGAACGGATATCAACGCTGTCTGTCGATCGCATGGGAGAAAATTGCTATCAACAGGGGATGATTTTGGCAAAGTACATCTCTTCTCATATCCATGTTCACAGTTTAGGGTAAGGTATTTCCAAAAAATTTACTCCTGTGACTTGCACAAATGCATTACATGTTGTTTTCCTATGTACAAAAAAAAAAAAAAGAAAAAAAAAGACAAGAATGGGAATATGTACACGCCTAAGGGATTTACTTAAGGTTGATTAAGACTACAATTAAATTCAAAATTTAATTTAATATTAAAATACTTTAAGAGAATGTTGTGATGCCTTGGTTTCGTTGTTGTATGAATGTTATAATGATACGTTTTTATGACTAATATGACATTAATATGGTGTTTTCTAGGCTCCAAGCCATGTGTACGGTGGACATAGTAGTCATGTAACTAATGTAGATTTTCTCTGTGAAGACACCCATCTCATCTCCACAGGCGGAAAAGATACAAGTATTATGCAGTGGCGAGTCATTTAAAGGAAACGTCTGTGTGAACATACACAGTTGAGTCGATCATGCACAGAACTTATGTATAAACTGTATATTTAAAACTTAACAGTATGTTTGCAGTTTAGCCTGGTCACTGTGATTTTTGTTTAAAAATTCTTACAAACCTCAGGAAAATTAAGCCCTGTGCTGGTTACCTTACTCAGTCTAGTGATTTTTTTTTCGTTGTGTCACACCTTAAGAATGATCGTTTTCTCTGCTGTTGTACAATATACAATGCAGTACAAGTTTAATATAAGAAATGTGGCTTGACAGTTTGCAATACAGTGGTATCAGCAGAATGTGACTATCTTAAATGTTTTCTATAAACACTGCTAAAATGGTCACAAAAATGCCTTTCAAAGACTGTATATATGTGCTTATTTGTTTCACTATCTACACTTTGTACTGTATATCTACTTATTTAGAAAAATCTATGACAATGTCGAGGTACTGAATTGTTTCTGATGGAGGATAAAAAGTATAAATTGAGTTGTAAGATGCAAAGATTAGTCTCCTAGACCTGAAAATGTGAATGCTAGCAAATTTGCATTCTCTTGGGAATAGCATACCTTGGGTATCGCCCGTGAGGAGTTGTGTTCCCTTTCAAGTGAATCAGCACGTTATGCCCCAGTTTGACCTGAATATCTCAGCAGGGTTTACAGATGTCTATGTGGTTCAGGGTTTCCATAGTAGTTTAAATTAAAAATCTTTTTACTTGTATATGAACAATTTCTTTTCAAAAACAAAACAAAAAAAAGCTTGGCCACATCCCCATTATTGGTTGATATATTTAACTAATATGTATATTAATCAGCATGATGCTATATTGTACATGTATAAGATTTTAGCAGTTCATAACAAATGGTAAGGCAATCTAGCTTTACTTTTTTATGCTTATGGATATTGTATATTTGTATTTTAAGACCAAGTAGACCAAGTCTAAAGATATCTTTTTAAGTGTACCATAAACCTGCAGAGGGTAAAGGAAGTCTTGGAAGCCCACATGAGATACTAATGTGTAACTTCTGGCCCCTGTGTTTTGTGCATGGATGAATATTTATAGTATGAAATAAGATTGTGTTTTGCAATGAAGTAATAGTGGAGGTGGTATAAAATGGTTAAGAAGGCCTTACCAATGTTGATTGTGACACAGATTGAAATGTATTGTTTACTTCAAGGAATGTATCTGAAGAATTTTAAAAGAGAGGAGTTCTAAGTGGACTCGAAAAAAGTAATATTAAAATTTTGCTTGTAATGGACAGTAAACGTTAATTCTCTGAACTCTAAAGCACTGGTTGTTTAGAGTGATTTAAATGAAATGGAATCAATAAATTTTGAGACTTTTTTATTACATCTCCAACCTCCTACACTGAAAGTGCAGGACACCAATAAACATGTATTAAAGTGAATTTTCAATGCATTTGTCCTGTTTAGTAAAATATCTTTGTTTCATTGTGAAATACTTATAGAAGAGACAGGCTTTTACTTAACGACACACATTTGAGATTTCTCAATTAAATCTGAATTTGAAAATATTTGGGAATAAAATCTAGATTTTGGGGTACACAATTTCATGCATGAGCATGACCCCGAGAATGTGATCCCTAATGCCCACCCAGGGAGTGAAACTCCAGCTTCACGGCAGGGAAGGACACGCCGTATGCTTTCACCTACAGCCTGCCTTGGCTCTGCCTCCTAGTACACATCTCTCATTTCTGGGCACTCGGCTGGGGGAGGAGTGTCATTCCTCTGCACAGGGTTATGGCAGGAGCTCCTGACAGTTTCTCTGTGTTAGGAACTTGCCCTCAGGCAAGACTGTTGAAGGCCAGTGTTTTGGGGTCACTTTAACCTGATGTTATCTAGCACTGAACTGAAGGAAGAGGTCTTTCCCCCGGCTGCTTGTTCCCATCCTGTGCAGCAGCACAAGAGTTACTGTGGCCATAGGGAGAACCCAGCTGGGAGATGCACCCAGGTTAAAATTAATATAGGAAAAAAAAAAAAAAAGCCAAGCAAGCAAACAGCAGCTACTACAAAACAGAAAACCCTTTTCCTCAGGTTTCTCATCTGATTTAGCTGTGCAGCTGTATGAGTGCTTTTACTGAGCTTGTACAGAGGAGGGAGCAATGTGGAGAAGAAAATAAACAGACAGAGGAGCACTGGAACAACTTCTTTTGATAGCAATGTCAATCTCCCTCTGCTTGAAGTGTGTGAAACTAAGGCATAATATCCCTACCCTTTCTAGGGTTAATCCAATCCTAAGAGGCTGTAATATGCAAGTGACGGGTTTTCATCTTGTCTAGATACTTTGTTGATTACTGCACGATACCTTCTGTTTATTCATTTTTTTTTTGCTTCTGCAGATGGTGTGCTTTCAGGTTTTCTGCTTTCAGAATTGTAGGTGATTTGTCCTTAGTTGCAACAGAGAAAACAGGAGCTGCAAATTGAGTTTGCTCATTCCCTTTTCATCTTTCTCCCACGGTGCTGCTCTTGGGATGTAATAATGTATTTGTGATCCCCTTCTTCGTTTTAAACTATTATCCCTTACAAGAAATAGATGAGGAATCCTGCAAGTTCATCCCTAGGGTTGCTGATCAAAGGGGATTTTCAACAATCCCATCCCATCTGTGACTCTGCTGCTCCTCTGTTTCTAACTTTTGCTGCTAAATGTGTCTTTGTTCCTCTATGAAAACCTGAAAAACGTATAAGCTGAACTGGCAAATGGTGGGTAAAGCCTTGAGCCAAATATCCGTTTGACAACTGTTAAAAGTGATTCTTCTCTCTTTATCCAGGAAATTCTACACAATTTTGCCATTGTTATATATAATCTTCAGCTCTTCCCCACTTCCACCCATGTTCCTTAGTTCTTGCATTTATTTGTTTTCTCCAGAGTGTCCTCTTTTTTTGCTTTAAAAGGAGGGGGAAAAAAAAAAAAAAAAAAAAAAGAGTTAGTCCTGAGCTTTGTGTATTTCATTCCCTCAGCAGCACCCGGGACTCTTACACCTGATGCTCTGTCTGCAGCTGCTGTCTCTTCCTGCCGATCCATGTAGCGAAAGGCTGGTTCTCAAGCCCATGGCTGGAGATAGGGCTGGGCTTCGGCTTCTGCTTCTGCTCCCTGATCCTGGCCACAGCAGGTGTAGGGTTGTGTAAAGAAGAGACTCATCTCTTCACGTCTCTTGTGTACTGCTGATGCCCACCAAGCATTCAGCTACTCCCTGTCAACTTTCTTCAGGTTTCAATTTCTGTTTCTTGCTTTTCTTCCATTCATTTCTAGCATTGCTTTTCTGTGACTTCAGCTTCCAGAACTGCAGCCATCTCGTCCCCTACTGGCACATGGTGCTGCCTCTAACTGCTTGTAAAACCAGTGGCCCTGACTACCTCTCTGATCGTTTTGGGACTGCGTTCCCGGTTTCTTACTGTATCTGTATCGACGCTCCTTCTTTGACTTGCATTTACCAGTATCAGTGATTGCATCTGCATTTAGCCCCTTCGCACCTCCAAGAGTACGAGTGCTCTGAGGTGATCGATGCTGTCTTGTTTCTCGCTTGTCTGTGGGCAGCCCTGTAATGTGTATCACATACTTAGATTTTAAAATATTTTTAGGGTAGGGATTTTTTTTCTCTGTTCTTGTACGCATTTAGCAATGGGATTTTGTGCTCCTACACTCAGTACAACAGCCCAACTCTCCTGTCTGTCCAACATGATGAGCATGTATATTCAGGTAACACCTCTGTGTCAGGATTTCAAAGTGATTAGCTACTGAAGTTGATAACATCTATTCTCTAAGTCTTAAATTATTCAGAAAACAATACATATGCTTTCAAAAGACTTCTTCTCCCTCTTCTATATGCTTTAAAACAAACATAGATTCAATCTGGTTTTTAGAATCATCACCCATTTTAAAGTAGAGGTTTTTCATGATTTTGTTTACCTCTCCTGCCTGTTTTCATATGTTTATTTTCCTGCTAAAGGACACGTATTTGTATTATATCACAACTACAGCCTTTTGCATCTTAATTCTATACGTACTATTTGAGTTACTACCTGAAAGATGATGATTACATAGATACTTTTGGTAGTGCTCAGTTTTGACAAGTTGTTGAAACCTGGCAAGTATTAACAATTTCCAACAGATGAGCTCTAGAAAAATCAGTTTATTAAAAAAAAAAAAAGTAAAAAAACCCAAACAAACAGTGAAGAAAAGGGATAAATGTAAGAGAAAGTAAATAATTTTTAAATGCTAGCAAATTTAAAAAAACCCAACATTTCAAGTGATTAAAAAAATCCTCTCACAAAGCAAATCAATTTTGTTAGAATGGATTTTTTACTATTCCAATTAATACAAGGTTAATTAATACAAGGTTATATGTCCTATATGAAATGTTTGGCTGAAATTTATTTTTCAAAAGATTAATATTAGACAATATTATTTCCCTTCAAAATTATTCATGTGACAAGAGCTTGCAAGGGCAAACGGACCCTTTTTTGCAATGGTTGGCATTTTTTGTTTCTTTAGGTTCTGCTCAGAGAAGCAGGCAGTCTTTTTGTTGTGTTTTCTCCTCCGTCCCTGGAACTAGGGCTGTTGACAGATCACTCGATTGCATCCTCAAAAATCCTACAGATGGCAGGGAAAATGTCACTTTTAATTACTAGTGAAAAGAACAGATTTAGGAGAAGCCTGAACAGAAATTTTTTTCTCCCATTACTGGCTGGAATTCACAGCCGTGCTGGAGCAGTCTGATCACGCCATGCTGCTGTGGCTGCAGTGGGCTGCCCTTCGGAAGAGGTGCCCCAAGCCGGAGCAGCTCCTAACACAAAAGATGGGACATGAGGAACTGACTCCTGAGGGGAAGGACAGAATCGTACGCAGATCTGTCTGCTCCTGGGCAGAGGCTGCTGGCTGCCGGGTGAGTGAGTACATTAGCGGTTCACGCTCTTGCTGGGAGAGATTGATGTTTCTCCTTAGTCACGCAGTTCGGCAGCAATTTCATTTTTCTTAATGGAGCAACTTTGCCGCCTGAATTCATTAAATAATTGCAGAAGACTAAGTGATAATTTACGTGGAGTTCTTGATGACAGTTCAGCCAAAGCTGCCATCTAGCACTAAGTTTGGTAGACCTTGTTTGTGTCAGTGGTGATACTGATGGGCTCATCTGTGAAAGCCACTCGGAGCACCTCTGTCAATCAGGAAGTTTCACAGCATTGTGGGTTCCCCTTGGTCTCCTGCCAAATGTGGAAGTGTAAGAAGGTGCCTCCCTTCAACAGAGCTGCTACACTGTTAGTGTCACCAGGCTCTGTAGGCACTTCTTTGGACCATGCATTTTGTCTGCGTTGTTATGAAAGCTTGAGGTCTTGGACTCCATAAAAAGTGGTTCCTCCCCACCAGCTCCACAGTCCAAACTTAGCACACGTTTGGTTTTACCATCTTTTGGCTCTCTACAAAGTATGTTAAATTAATTTATACATTTCCATTCATTTGTAGTGGACATACCTGTACTTTAAAGGCTGCCTCTGCGTCTAGTCTGAGGTGCTGAGGTTATAACCATGAGAGTGGCAAACTGTTTTCTGGATCCATGCATGTGAATGGGTTTTTAGCAGGAGTTT